CCACACTACATTCTCTGACACCTCACTCCCCTCTATCTGTAATAACTTATTTTGTGGGCTCCTCCCAATGCATTTACTGCAGAATTCTTTTGGGTAGTCCATAAGTGTTTTTACCCAACGGACCAACAGTGTAAGGAACATTCTTTTTTCCAACGGCCATCCATCTAAGGAAGTCCTTCTGCACTGACCACCTATCCAAAAATTCCTTCGCTTACCACCAATGTAAGGATGGGAATCCTGATTGGATGCCTCGGGTTAGTGGGGATTATTACAGTGATCCTTTCTGTAATCAGTGAGCAGGATCCATACACATTTTTTAGCAAAGTGCATCAACAACAGGCAGACCGGGCTTGAGTTTTTGTCCCTGCATTTTATCCTTCATGTATTGCTGTCATTGCCCTTTTCTTGCCCTTTATTAAAAAAATTGTCCTTATATTTCCACAGTTGCTCCATGTATTTTTATCATTGTTAATGTGTTACCCACCTGCCGTCACAACTGCCATTTTTCTTACCCATATATTAGACAATTGATTTGGTGCCTGTGATGTAAGTATTGGAGTTGTTCTGTACTGTTTCATATGAAGACTGGAATGCTATCATTTACTCTTTACATAGTTAGTCTGGCTGAAAAGAGACCAAAATCCATCCAGTTCAACCATTAAAAAAAAAAAAAAAAAAAAAATTATAATCCTACACCCACAGTTGATCCAGAGGAAGGCAAAAAAAAACAGCAAATCACGATCCAATTTGCTCCTGCTGGGAAAAAAATTCCTTCCTGATCGCCCATGAGGCAATCAGATATTCCCTTAATCAACTGTATTACTATAATTTAATCTTTTTGGGTATGTGGCGCTCACCCTCACATGCACCACTTGAGGTGATGGGTTCTCTGTTCTGCCACAATGTTTTAAATTGCACGCTCCCCACTGACACACCTGGTTATACAGGTGAAACTTGAAAAATTAGAATATCGTACAAAAGTTCATTTATTTCAGTAATGCAACTTAAAAGGTGAAACTAATATAAGAGATAGACTCATTACATGCAAAGCAAGATAGTTCAAGCCGTGATTTGTCATAATTGTGATGATTTTGGCTTACAGCTCATGAAAACCCCAAATCCACAATCTCAGAAAATGGGAATATTGTGAAAAGGTGCAATATTCTCGGCTCAAAGTGTCCCACTCTAATCAGCTAATTAAGCCATAACACCTGCAAAGGGTTCCTGAGCCTTTAAATGGTGTCTCAGTCTGGTTCAGTAGGAATCACAATCATGGAAAAGACTGCTGACCTGACACCATCATTGACACCCTCCATAAGTAGGGAAAGCCTCAAAAGGTAATTGAAAAAGAAGTTGGATGTTCCCAAAGTGATGCATCAAATCACATTAATAGAAAGTTATGTGGAAGGGAAAAGAGTGGAAGAAAAAGGTGCACAAGCAGCAGGGATGACCGCAGCCTGGAGAGGATTGTCAGGAAAAGGCCATTCAAAAGTGTTGGGGACTTTCACAAGGAGTGGACTGAGGCTGGAGTCAGTGCATCAAGAGCCACCACACACAGACGGATCCTGGACATGGGCTTCAAATGTCGTATTCCTCTTGTCAAGCCGTTCCTGAACAAACAACGTTAGAAGCGCCTTACCTGGGCTAAAGAAAAACAGACCTGGTCTGTTACTCAGTGGTCCAAAGTCCGCTCTTCTGATGAGAGCAACTTTTGCATCTCATTTGGAAACCAAGGACCCAGAGTATGGAGGAAGAATGGAGAGGCACACACTGCAAGATGCTTGAAGTCCAGTGTGAAGTTTCCACAGTCTGTGTTGATTTGGGGAGCCATGTCATCTGCAGGTGTTGGTCCACTGTACTTCATTAAGTCCAGGGTCAACGCAGCCATCTACCAGGAGATTTTGGAGCACTTCATGCTTCCTTCCGCAGACGAGCTTTATGGGGATGCTGACTTCATTTTCCAGCAGGACTTGGCACCTGCCCACACTGCCAAAAGCACCAAAACCTGGTTCAATGACCGTGGGATTACTGTGCGTGATTGGCCAGCAAACTCGCCTGACCCCCATAGAGAATCTATGGGGCATTGCCAAGAGAAAGATGAAAGACATGAGACTGAACAATGCAGAAGAGCTGAAGGCCGCTATTGAAGCATCCTGGTCTTCCATAACACCTCAGCAGTGCCACAGGCTGATAGCTTCCATGCTCCGCCGCACTGAGGCAGTAATTGCTGCAAAAGGGGCCCAAACCAAGTACTGAGTACATATGCATGCTTCTACTTTTCAGAGGTCCGATATTGTTCTATGTACAATCCTTGTTTTATTGATTGCATGTAATATTCTCATTTTCTGAGATTGTGCATTTGGGGTTTTCATGAGCTGTAAGCCATAATCATCACAATTATGACATATCACTATCTTGCTTTGCATGTAATTAGTCTCTCATATATTAGTTTCACCTTTAAGTTGCATTACTAAAATAAATGAACTTTTGCACGATATTCTAATTTTTCGAGTTTCACCTGTAGATTGAAGGCCGATCACACTTATAACTTAAGCGTTCGTATGCTGCCACGTTTTAACTGGTAAAAAACTGTGGGAAATATAGAGATGAACAAACCAAAGGAAATGTCCTTATGTTCACGCATATTGCCCTGATTGTGGGTGGGTACGTGTGTTCCTGACTAGTGGAACCCTGGAAGTGGATATAAAGTACCTGGTGCCTAATTGGCAGTATTATCAGGCTATCATTGGGGCCTGTCTGTAGGTGGTGCATGTGAATCTGTTTTTTAAGAATGGCAAACAATGGACGGCTGATGGGCTGCTATAGAGCATTCTCTATAGGCATTAACTGTGGACAGTTATTGGTTAAGCTCATCACTCCTGTTACACCACAGATTGAGTCCAGTGTGCTTGGTAGTCTGTTGTCTCAGAAGGCTAAGTCCTCACAATTGGGTTTCTCCCAAGGCTCAGTCCTCTGAAAACCTCAGAAAACAGGCCACAAGCAACTTGGTTGATCAAAGAGATGTATTACGGCAAGGCAGGTTAGACCATGCATACACCAGTAAACAGACAACTAAACAAGTCTGAACAGGCCAGACAAAATAGAATGTGCAACAATCTATAACAGGGCATTAAACGGACTGCAAAAAGTAAAACCCACGTTTTAACTGGTAGAAACCGTGGGAAATATAGACATTAACAAACCAAAGGAAATGCCCTTATGTTCATGCATACAGCCCTGATTGTGGGTGGGTACATGTGTTCCTGAGAAGGGGTACCCCGGAAGTAGATATAAAGTACCACGTGCCTAACTGGCAGTGTTATCCGGCTATCATTGGGGCCTTTCTGTAGGTGGTGCATGTGAATCTGTTTTTTAAAACTGCAAACAATGGACGGTCGATGGGCCAAAAGAGCGTTCTCTACAGGCATTAACTGTGGGCAGCTATTGGTTCAGCTCAGTTGTTCATACCCTGGAAGTGGGTATAAAGTACCTAACTGGCAGTATTATCCGGCTATCATTGGGGCCTTTCTGTAGGTGGTGCATGTGAATCTGTCCCTTTAAAACTGTAAACAATTCTCTATAAGCAATAACTGGGCAGTAATTGTTTCAGCTCACTTGTCCCGACACAGATTCAGTGTCCAGTGCACTTGGTGCTCTGTTATCCCAGAAGGCTGCCTGCTTCTCTGGTTCTGACCTCGGCCAGTTACCTGAACCTCGCTCTGACTGCTTCTTTGGTATTGATCCCAACTTTCTACCTGACCACACTTCTGCTTCATCATGTATGACCTGGCCCATCCTGACTACGTCTCTGACCCTGGCAGTCACCTGCTACTGAATTCTCTGGTGTCTAAGTTGAACTTTTTTTTTATCAGTGCACTGCACTCTGAACATGAATAAGGACGGTCACTTGTGTGAACTCTCTGTTGTCTAACAAGGCCATCCTTCCGAATAAAACATTTCCCACACTCGAACATGGATAAGGAAGCTCCCCTGTGTGTACTCACTGATGTTTATCATTCTCTCCTTTTTGAGTGAAGGATTTCCCGCACTCTGAATAAGTATAAGGACATTTAATCTCCTGGTGTCTAAGGAGAACTTTTTTTTTATCAGTGAAAGATTTCCCGCACTCTGAACATGAATAAAGATGCCTGGCTGTGTAAATTCTGTGTTGTGTAAGGAGAACTTTTTTATTAGGGAAAGATTTCCCGCACTCTGAACATGAATGAGGACGCTCACTAGTGTGAACTCTGATGTCTAACAAGGCCTTCTTACAGAATAAAACATTTCCCACACTTTGAACATGAATAAAGACGCTCCCCAGTGTGTACTCTCTGATGTTTAACCATCTCTACTTAGAGGGAAGGATTTCCCGCACTCTGAACAAGCATAAGGACATTTACCCGTGTGGATTCTCTGGTGCATAACAAGGTCTCCTTTATAAGAGAAACATTTCCCGCACACTGAACATGAATATGGACGCTCACTTGTATGAATATTCTGATGTTTACCAAGATTTCCTTTATTAGTTCAAGATTTTCCGCACTCTGAACATGAATAAGGAAGGTCACCCATGTGAATTCTCTGATGTTAACAAAGGTCTCGTTGGATGAAAGATTTTCCGCACACTGAACATGAATAAAGACGCTCACTCACATGAAATTTTTCATGCTGTACAAGGTTTCCTTAATTAGTGAAAAATTTCCAGCACTTTGACAAGGCCTTCTTTCTGAATAAAACATTTCCCGCACTCTGAACATGAATAAGGACACTAACCTATGTGAATTCTCTGGTGTCTAAGAAGGTTTCCTTTTTGAGTATAAGATTTCCCGCACTCTGAACATGAATATGGATGCTCACCCGTGTGAATTCTCTGGTGTTGAATGAGTCCTCCTTTTTGACTGAAAGATTTCCCGCACTCTGAACATGAATATGGACGCTCACCCGTGTGAATTCTCTGGTGTCCAAGAAGTACATTTTTTTTCAGTGAAAGATTTCCCGCACTCTGAACATGAATAAGGGCGCTCACCCGTGTAAATTCTCTGGTGCCTAACAAGATCTCCTTTTTGAGTGAAAGTTTTTCCGCACTCTAAACAGGAATAAGGACGCTCACCTGTGTGACTTTTCTGGTGTTTTTCTAGACTTTCTTTCCTAGTGAAAGATTTTCCGCACTCTAAACATGAAAAAGGACGTTCACCCATGTGTATTCTCTGGTGTTTCACAAGGCCTCCTTTCTGAGTGAATGATTTCCCGCACTCTAAACATAAATAAAGACAGTCACCCGTGTGTCTTCTTTGGTGTATAACAAGGTCTCCTTTCTGTGTGAAAGATTTCCCACACTCTAAACATGAATAAGGGCGCACACCTGTGTGAATTCTCTGGTGTCTAACGAGGTCTTTTTGATGAGTGAAACATTTCCCGCACACTGAACATAAAAAAGGACGCTCACCCGTGTGAATCTTCTGATGCCTAAGAAGGACACTTTTCTCAGTGAAAGATTTCCCACACTCTGAACATGAATAAGGACGCTTGCCCATGTGACTTTTCTGGTGTTTAACAAGACTTCTTTTACAAATGAAAGATTTCCCGCACTCTGTACAAAAAAAGGGACGCTCACCCGTGTGAATTCTCTGGTGTTCAGTAAGCGCTCTTTTCCGAGAGAAACATTTCCCGCACTCTGAACATGAGAATAGATTGTCCCCTCTGTGAGCTCCTTCATGGGGTGAGGAAGATTCCTTGGGATTAGATGGATCTGTTGATCTCTCTGCAGTGTGAGATCCTAAATGGACATTTGCACTCCTAGTATGTGATTGGTCAGAAGATTCCCCCTGCTCAGAGGGATCCATTAATGTCTCCGGACAGGAAGGTCTGTGATGGATATTGGGTGTATTTGGATTCACTCCTGGAGAATCCTGTGTGATGGCATTATCTTCTGACTTCCAATCAGCAGATAATAGAAGAAGTCTCTCCGAGGAATTCCTGACATCAGCGCCATCTGATGGAGAGAAATGGAAGAAATGTCAGAATTCACAGATAACTGGAGATTTAGCTCCTCTCCCAGTCAGTGGAATAAGTGGAAATGTCGATCTCACAGCTGGGCTCCTGTTCTCCCTCCAAAATCGATCAGAAAAGTGTTCACATCAAGTCCATATATGATCTGCAGATTCTTTACTATTCAATAGCTACGACTAATGCAGGCCATAGATGGGTCGAACATCGGCCGATTTTTCGAACGATAAATGAAAAATCAGTCGTTTGTTCGGCCGACGTTACCACCAATGGTTTAAAAAAAAAAAAAATCGGACGACTAAATCATAACGTCTGTCCCTTGCAGGTCACGGCTCTTGCGCCGATTTTTTTTATCGTTTAAACGATCGGCCGATTTGGCCACCATTGCCGGGAAAAATCGGTCGATCGTCCAAATCGGCCGCAAATTTTTCAACATGACTGATAATCTCAAAGTGCAAACCCGAAAAAAACGTCCGACCAATTAACACACTAACAGTGCGAAATTCAGCTGATTTTTCAAACCGTCTATGGCCGGCATTAGGCTTCATTGGCGGTTGGTTTCTGCATTGGATTGCCTGAATTTTAACCAGTTTATCTTTTTTAATAAGAGCCCTGCCCGGCTGTCATTTTGTTGTTGGCCGGGCGGGACACTTTTTCGATCCGGGTGGGTGTCATATGACGTTCTTTCAGGTCGACGCAGCTTTGCGGCGAGATCTGTCACTGGCTGTGTCCATCAGACACAGCCTGATGACCAATCTGTGCACTGGCCCGTTGCCCGTACCATGTGATCGCTGCGGCCAATCACAGCAGGTCGCATGACAATTGTAAACAATGGATGGCCTCCTTTCATGCCATCCATTGTATACAATTGTGTGTGTTGCTAGCTGTGATTGGTCGCACTAATCACATGGTAGAGACTGGGCCAATGACAGCTAATCACATGACAATTACAACAAAAAAAACACTGATTTACCTGTAATTGATTTCATTCAGTTGCTGTAAATGCATGCCTAGAGCAGTGAAATTCATTGCTACAGGCAATCATAATGTGTGAAAAAAATACTGATCACTTCCCCAGAGTAGTACAATGTTACTATGGTAACAATACATTACTCTGGCCATACTGTTTATATTTAAAAACTTTTTTTTTATTTTATATATATATATATATATATATATATATATATATATATATATATATATACATATACATACATACACATATATGTATATATATACACACAAAAACGTACAGTCCCCTATGTGATGATTTTTTTGGTGACAGGTTCTCTTTTTTGAGACATCCAGGGTCTAAAAGACCCCCCATGTCGTCGACCCTGTGCTCCACTGAATGTAATGTGGTGCACATTGCACCGCATACAATCTTTCCCGGCCTCGATGACTGGGAATCTGTCAAATAGGGACCCAGAAGTGGCGTCACATCACTTCTAGGTTAGGGAAAGTGACGTCACATCACTTCCGGGTCAGGACAAGTGACGCCACACACCACTTCCAGGTCAGGACAAGTGACGTCACACCACTTCCAGGTCAGGACAAGTGACGGCACATTACTTCTGGGTCAGGACAAGTGACGGCACATTACTTCTGGGTCAGGACAAGTGATGGCACATCACTTCCAGGTCAGGACAAGTAACGTCACACCACTTCCGGGTCAGGACAAGTGACGTCACATCACTTCCGGGTCAGGACAAGAAGGGGAGCAGATGTGTTCGCACTCCTCACTCTATACCACATACCGTGGCACCCATTGAACCAGTCCGGGGGCCCGCAGATGGGCAAGCAGAGCCCGGGACATAACGGGCAGGGCGGAGAGACTGGCACCGTGGGCTGTGTGGAAGCAATCAGGCGGCAGCGCTACCGCCCGAATGCTTCCACCTGACTGGTGAGCCCTGCTGCTTGCCCGCAGCACGGCTAAAGGCAAAAAAAACCCCTACCTGCCCAGAACTACATGTCCCCGGAGTCAGGCGATAGGAATTGCACATCCCTGAAGTGCCCGGTAGTCACATTGATCCAAAGCCGGCCATACACGGGTCGAATTCCAAAAGAATTTTCATTCAAAAATCTTTTGCTAAGAATTTTCGTTCGAATTTCGCATCATTAGTGGGTCACAGAAACGGACAGTTCTCTAGAGAACATCGAATTTGAGCTATCGGGCATGTTGGAAAAGGAGATGGTCCTTTTCATATGGTGTCCAGTATCTCCTCCTCATTTGTTGGGAACATGACGTTATATTGAGGAATGGAGATGGACCTTCCATATGGTGTCCAGTATCTCCTCCTCATTTGTTGGGAACATGACGTTATATTGAGGAATGGAGATGGACCTTTCATATGGTGTCCAGTATCTCCTCCTCATTTGTTGGGAACATGACGTTTATTGAGGAATGGAGATGGACCTTCCATATGGTGTCCTGTATCTCCTCCTCCAACTCGATGTTTGTGCTTGGAACGGTTTCTTCAATAGTGCCTGTACTTACAAGTGTTGATAGGTAGAGAAATGTCATCCTGTTCACTCTTCATAGCCATCTCAAACTCCTCTGTGGACGACTGATCACCCCCAACACACGTCTCTGCTTCTTCCTCTTTAATCGCAACTTTTATATGAATCCGTTCTTCACTCTAAGCCCCATAATAGTAGAAAAACATTAATTTAACACTGTAGGCAGATCTATAAAAGACACCCTTGGTGGAGGAACACATGGAGAATGAGGACCCATGATATCATGTAACTGGACCTAACACCCACAGAAGAAAGAAACATATACTGTGCTCCAAGGGGCAGCTGGGAAGTGGGAGTGGAATAAGTAAAGGCTTCACCTCAGATGCAAAAGTAAACATTAAAGGGTTAGTTCACTTTTACAAAAAAAAAAATGCCTATGCAGGTAGATAAAAACGAACTTGAGCCTTGACCAAAGATGACTAATGCCCATGCTATGTGTAGGCCATTTAAGTACCTCATGAAGCCTAACAGGAAACTTCTAGGACGTTTTTAGGAGAAGCCTAGGTGTTACCGTTCACCTCCACTATCACAGGAGTGAGCTCTCCAACGCTGAGTTCAGAGCTACTGCATAAGGGGGAGAGAGAACATGTGAGGGGGGTTGAATCAGAGAAAGAGCTCGCTCCTGTGATGGTGAACAGCTAGGTATCTCCAGGGCAATTTTTTTTGCTATGGGCCTCAAGGCCCAGCCAGGGCACAATTGCATGGCCACTTATTTATTTATTTTTCTCCCACCATTTTGTCACTTTTCACTTTATGTGTGGATTTTTTTCTCACTAGGATGGAGGGTGCAGGTCCTCGGGCCTGCCCTGAAGTCTAGGGGGAGGATGCATGGCCATTAGGTTCCTTCTTCCCCTGTTCCTGGGGTTTCTCTCTTCGGGAGAGCTCCCTTACCTAGTACTTGGTGGTCGGTTTCGGCTAGCCACAAGGAAAGGAGTCCGCCAGGCCTTTTGGCTAGGTGGACCATGTGGAAACCTTTGTCCCTATCAGGAGCCTTGCGCCCTGGAGATCAGGGCAGAGGTCCTACCCCTCGGGGGGTGGACTAAAGCACACCCCTAAGTGCACTTTTTTGTGTTTTGCACTTGCACGTATTTTTTTTTTTTGTTCCCTTATGGGTTTTAGTTTTTCGCACCTCCGCGGACAAAAAAAAAAAAAATAATTGCTAAGCATCTCCTAGCAACATCCTACGAGTTTTCCAGTCAGGATTCATGTGGTATTTATATGGACTACACCTTTAGGCAAGGACATTGTTCAACTTTGGTCAAAGCTACAATACTCGTTTTTATCTACAGATGCCTCTTATCTGTATGGACAGTTTTTGGTAAAGGTGAACTATACCTTTAAAGTAAAAGGCTACATAGAAGAATGTCATCTCACAAAGTTCAGGATCACCAAGTCCACCTACCTTATGATGGTGAAGGATGGTGTGACCTTCCTGTGTGGAATCCCAGGAATACAGAGGACGGGGACTTCTCCCTGGTGGGTTCCCATTACTGGATCCATCTACCTGATGGTGAGGGATGGTGTGACTTTCCTGTGTGGAATCCCAGGAATACAGAGGACGGGGACATCTCTCTGGTGGGTTCCCATGACTGGATCCATCTGTAGGAAACACACACACTGACTGAATCCATTGTTTCTATGTGTTTATCAGATGATGGGGGATCTAGGTGGACCCTCCGTACTGCACTCTCCATTACAATAAAGTCTCCTCTTACCCGGTGATGTGAGGGGCTGCTGATTGTCCTTCATGACGTCCTTGTAGAGATCCTTGTGTCCTTCTAAATACTCCCACTCCTCCATGGAGAAATAGACCGTGACATCCTGACACCTTATAGGAACCTGACACACACAATGATACAGTCACCATCCAGACACATCCCTTGTCTGTTACTGGAGAATGTCCCAGAATTCCCGGCACCACTCACCTCTCCTATCAGCAGATCAATGATCTTCTGGGTGACTTCTAGAATCTTCTTTTCATTGTTCCTTTTGGGTTTCAGGGAATAAGGCGAAGGGACTGTGATGGTTAAATGGTCACCAGATACCATGGGTGGAAAACTCTGTATTAAAAGAGCAACAATAATGTCATGTGACCTCCCAGAATCCTCCTCACCTCTCTGGT